CTAAAAAAGTTTATTCTAAGTCGAGATCTGTGGATTTAAAGATGAAGTTTAAAAACCGACATTAATTTCTTACCAACCTAATACAAACTGTGAACATTGAAATAAGAAAAGTAACATAGTGGTTTTTAGCGGCGCCATCGATTTACAAGCGATAAAACCTTTGCACAGACCTAGTATCATAAAACAGTTTATTTTCAATCATGCGTATCTTTATTTTTATGTCAATCTCGAATAAGATCTGTTTCGTCCATTTTTGTTTCAAGCGTGCCACAGCGCGCGGGTTAGAAACGTTGAAAATTTTACAAAGCAATGTAAACAATATAGCAATCAGCCTTATTTATCATCTCGTTTATATCTATTTGACGAAATAATTACCAACGATCGTATAAAATTTTTGTAACGTAGTATATAACTCAATGGTAGCATAATCATCTATCGGGATATAAAAACGAGTTAAAAATTCGACGAGCTATTTAAGACGCCTTATTAAACATTGTGCAATATCGCTGCAACGTTCGATGGAAGAATTTCTCGTTCATGTTGCAACAACTTGCATTATCTCCCGGTGAATGAATTAATGACAGGCGTTTTAGATTATGCGGTGTCCATAAAGCAGTACTATATGTTTCCTCCGACTATCTGAGTGTTCTGATAAACTACGCCATTTACCATCCACGAAGCAGAAATATGAATAATATGAATCAGGCGATGTTGTCGGTTAATTAATTATAATTTATATCCTCTCCGCGCAAACGATTGAAATCAACGTGATTTTTCTATTCTATATTATACTCTCTACTGTATTAAAACATTTCAAATTTTATCGTCATGTTAAACGATCTTTTACTGTTTGAAATTATAAACTATAATTGATCGAGAATAAATAGGTATAATTTATTGGTCGAATAAAATGTTTTATCAGAATTTCGATAAAAGCGAGGCTTATAAGGAGCGCATTCGAACTAGCCGACGAGACTCAATTATAAATACGTTTCGTATTATACTGCAGCATTATATTGGAACGTAGAAGGATATTCTCGCCGGTTACTCGATATAATATCGAAATTAATTAGAAGCCACATCATTCGGTTCAAGTACTGCCCGCAGTAATGCTTGAATCACAAATTAAATATGAAACTGCAAATTGGGAGATCGCGTTGAAAATCAGCCGTGTGTCATAAATAGCTACTGCAAATAATAACGGTATAATTAATTGCACGCGATAAAAACGAAGTCGACAATTATAAATTTAATTACAAGCGAAATGTCACTTGCGATTGATTGATATCGCAAGTGACAATTACGAGTAGGTAATTCAAAATCTCTGAAGCGACGCACGTTGTAAATCACTGAGAACGAAGCACAATCGTTTATCGTGTTTAATGGTAACCATAAATTTCTTAATCAATCACCAATCGAAGACCTCAGAAGCACGGTGAGTATCAAAAGCCACTTAGAAAAGCACCGTTATCGTTTGAAAACGCGGCGGAATAACACTGCTCTGAGGGACAAACGAGAAACGGGGCAAGATGTATTGAAAAACCATAAGCGAGGCTCGTCACGTCGTAATCGAATTTCGGTGAGCGGCCTATTTAGGGCGGTGAGACGGATGCGTTAACGAAGACGTACCGTGGACAGAGAGGAGAAGGAGAAGACGGATACCTCTGGTTCTCCAGTTGCCACAGAGGCCCGAAGGCAACCGTCGAAGGATTAACGTGGCCTAATTCGAGCAGCTTAGAAGTGGCGAAGACAGGAAAAGAAGGGTCGGAAGCCGGTAATTCCGGAGACTGGTTCGCAAGTATCCGACGCAGCCCGTACCGGGAATAAAAAGCGACCTGATTATCCTTTGTTTTATCCCCGGGGAATCCGAGCGGCATCCCGCTCCGTGGGATTCGCCGCAGCGGAGCTAGGAAAAACTTTTTAAAGACCGCGACGGTCTCTCCTCACTCGTTCCGTGACCTGTTTCACTGAACAGGAACTTTCAGGAATTTCGTTCCAACTCCTTAACCGAGACTCTCGAGCTCACCTCTCTATCTTCTCTTTTTCTTCTACGTCTCTCCCCCTTTTTCTCTTTTCTCGAAGACGAACTCCTGCGTTAGGCGGGATCGACGAAGCTAGGAGAAGATCGAGAAGAACTCTGCCAGCCAGTCATCCCTCCCTCTGGATCCACAACGTAGATTTACCATAAGGAGGAAGGCAAACACGAGAGCTGGAAGGACGCAGACGTGTCGGTGAATCCTGGTGGATCGCGAGGCGAGGATCACGGGATCGGAATAAGTTCACCGCGACCCGGATAAAGAGACACTTTTATCGCTGGAAGAACGGCCCATCCGCGACCGGTCGTCGTTACGGCCACGGCGAAATTGAAGAAAGATTCTATTATGCCCTGTATCTTTATGGTCGTTATCGTTTAATGGATCGACGACCGGTATCCAGGGATTTTTGCCGTTCTGGGGAACATCGCGGAACTACTGGCCGCTTTACGACGTGAAACGCCGGATACTTTTTGATTGCGCAATTCCGCGCCGTGACGAATGTCTCTGTTTCCTTGGATCGTGGAGGAATTCGTTGGCAATCGAGGTTTAGATCGATCTCGTGCCTCGGAGATGGGAGCTTGAAGAATTAATGATCAGGAGAATAAACGATCGGTTTTTAACTGTTATTTAATTTTGTCATATAAGAAAATTTCTTTCAACGAATCGCTGTTTAGCAATTGAAATATAGTCATAGATAAAATAGTGATTGCTTGCAGAATCCTTTTTCACGCTGTCGCAGTCGTTGATAATTCAAAGCGAATTGAATAAAAGAAAGGTGTTCACTTTAAAAGTTTTGCTCTATCGAGTGAAATATAAAAATTGCCGGAATTTTATTATTTCACTACTGTAATAAATTTTTACAAGAATTTTGTAGCTTACTTTAGATTTGAATTTTTCGAGCACAGAACTACTCTATTCTACGAAGCATTCCGTCCTCGCAATGTTATTAATATCATATGCCATATCTCACAGAAAGATCAACACATTGGTCTTCGTTTATATTAACGTTACGTTACGAAACTAATGTTTTTACACATTGTTTACTTTATCTTACAAACGTCCGCGTTTTTTCCTTCTATTTATTCAAACATAATACACGTTTATTCCACAAACTTTTCACCGAATCGATTCGTTCCTTTCAAACCTTCGCAAATTTGCATTTCTAAGTTATGCTCAAACGTAAGACTAGCTTTCCATTCAGAATGGTGAAAAAAAAAGAAGAAGAAAAGGATAGCTCAGGATCCCCACCGGTGAGTTTCCCTTAATCCACGACCCACTAAATATCTCCGGTCATATTTCCCTTTTATTTTCCTCGCAAACTAATTTCCCGGCGCTTCATAGAGACGGCGAGGAGGCAGGTACCTCTACCCACCACGAGCACACCCGCTTCTCCCATAGATACATCCCGCCTCAGAAATGAATTCCGTACACGAGAGAGAGAGGGTCCGGTTAAATCAGCCGCTTTATGCACGCGGAAACCGTGGACTCGTTCGTCCGCTTTTATTTCAATTTCGCGGTACGTACGCGGCTCGTTAGGGGCGGTAAAGAAAAGCTCGGGAGAAAAAGTACGGTGAACGGAGGAGAAACAGTGAAATAGAACGGAAGAACAACTAGGCGTATATGTACCCTACTTACACCCTCTTCCATAAGTAATGGGACATTTAGCGGATCTAGGGCAAAGAGCGAATTTATATCGCGAGACAGAGTTGTTGTTTACTGATCGTTTAGTATGTTGTTGCACGTGAAATGACGGATTTGTAAATGAATTTGTAATCGTCGTTCCATCATTTTTCAATGGATTTAATTTAGGAGACTGTGATAATATTTAACCCTTTCATTAATTCATCTTTAACACTTGACTTGTTTTTAAATTTCGATTTGAAACCATGCACCTCGTTTTTCCCCGTATTTTGTTAATGATAAAAATATGTCATTTTTTTTTTATTAATATTTAAAGGCTATTTTCTGCATCGTTTCCTATATTAAGTTGACGATCACCTGTTCTCCTTTCGGAAAGAATATGATTATTTCATATGATTTCATTTGACGGGCAACGGTATACAAAAAGTGTTCAACGTTTTGAAAATTTATTCGCACTGCACCTATAGTTCACGTCTGTTGGTGCACTTCGACCCCAATTGACCCTTTGCAATCGAGTGGCGACTGAGAAGCGACGTTAAATGATTGTCACTTGGTAAATAATTAATCAAGACAGAGAGCAGATCTGTGGGCCTCCATAAATTTGTTTACCATCGTGAAACAGAAGATACATTGAATATTGAAATAAAATAGTTAGTTTTAAACAATTTCAAAGAAGATCTGATTTGCAATCTTTCCTATAGCTAAAAGACCTCCAAGTGCGAAGGATGAAATCCTTAGTTATATCCTTTGCGCATTTCCACGTTAAAAAAAAAAAACAAATTTTAAAACGATACTGTCATAACAAAGGATTTTGCAAACTATATACCTCAAACAATCGATTTTCAATATGTACAGCACTGTAAACCAGTTCACATCTATATCATTTCTGAACACTTTCCAAAATCCTACCAGAAATTTATCTCAACGACCGTATTATCCAAAACCTAACGAGTTTCCAATAACTTACACAGTTGATACCGTGTACATGCGAGAATATACAAGCGGGCGGAAGAGAGAAAGGGAGGAGGGACAGATACAAAAGGATAGAGTGGAAATTCCTTGCCACCTTGGGATTACCAGCAGGTTAATTACACGAGAGAACGGTGCTCCCTGTTTACCACGTTGGTTATTTGTCTTGCAGGTGTTATCAGCCAGGTGATAAGCACCCTTCCCAACCGTGAAACCCGGCACGCTGACACGAGCGTTCTTCTCGCTCTTTTTCCAACCGCCACCCTTGTATTCCTCGGTGTCGACTTGGAGGGTGGCCTGTGTGGTCCTCGAGGTGGAACACGGAAGCCTTCGCGTCACCAGAGGGAACGCGCCGGGGGATGATAGAAGATGAGCGCGACCGGTGAAGGAGGAGCGAGGGAAGAGTGAAGGCAGCCACCGAGAAAGCTATCCGGAACAACGAAGATGAGATGGGATGCCGCGCTCTACCTACTTTCGCTGCTGCTCTTCTCGCTGGCCAATCTTTGTTGGGCTCTCGTCGAAACCCGGGGTAAGTACGTGCGAATTTTCGGACCGAGACGCCTTCATCTATGTAGCGACGGCCACGAGATTAATTCGACCGATCGGCCCGATACTTCATCTCGCCAGGACGTGTTTGTAGCGTAAAAAGCTTGGCTAGCCTCGCGCCAGCCAATTTCCACGGAGATAACGGTTTCGTGTATTCTTGGAGATATCGTTCGAAGGATAACAGAATGAATTTTGGGCAGGGACTCTTGGACGCGAATATATCTCATTTCAGATGCTCCTCGCTGTTTTTCTGGAGAGATTTTTGGTAGGGAAGAATATCGTTTTTACCCTCATTTTTTTTTTCCTCTTTCTTTCCTTTCTTTTCTCTTTTTTTGCTTTGGTCCCCTTTCGTGGGAAATTGTAGAGGCCTATGCGTTGCCCAGGGGGATGAGTTTTTGTTCCGCGATGAGAAAGAGGTCTTTTTTTCCGAAACTTACCGAGTAATTACGCGGATTGAAAGAATGTGAAAGGTTAATTTAATGCTTCTCGAGTTAATTTCAATTCTGGTGATGAACTGAAATGTGTGAATTTTTGGTAATTGAGATTATTTCGTCGTAGCCGAAGTTTATTTCTGCATCGAATGGAGAAAGAAGAAATCTTAAAGAAATTCATTTAAATGTACAAATAACGACGAATTAAAATCTGAAGTAGAAATAACAAATAACATAGTTTTTCTTTTTCTTTTTTAAATATAATTTAAAATCTTGGATATCGGGAACCATATTTGGGGGTTATTCTATATTTCACAATAATATTCTACAAATAAGTTGAGATTTTCTTCTGTTCCAAACATCCCTTTAATACTGCCAGACATTTCGAGCTGCTTTCTGGTATCTTCTATACTCTTACTCTCAAATTGTAAAATAACAAGTTCTCATTTCTCTATATCCAACAAAAAAAAAAAAAAAAAATACTCCACACGATATCAATAACACAGACAACAAATACCATTTGCAAAAACTGAATCGACGCAACGGAACAAAGTATTAAACGCAACATCGACTACACGCAGAACATATTTCAAATTCATGTCGTTCTTTCAATTGCATCGTAAAAAGGAATACCGCCGCGTTTGTTTCAGCGTTTAAATCCAATCACGAACACACAGGTAAGAGAGAAACAAGGTTTTCTCTCCCCATGAAAATTCCGACGCGTTGTTTGAAATTCAACGCGAGACACTCGGCGAAAAAGGTGTTAGCCGAAATAAAGAGAGCGCCGGTGAATTAAGAATCATCCGGTTATCAGATACGTGCCGACGCATACGATTAATTATATCGAGTATTGCACATTCGCCAGCGAGCAGCAGCCCCCCTATCTCTCGGTTGCTTAGGAATTTTTCGCAAAGGGGTGAACGTTATGAATATTCATAGAAGTTGGACGAAGTCGAACATAATCCAACGGTTCGACAACGTGACAATCATTTCTGATTTTCCCTTAATTCGAGTCCGAGCCGGTGAGCGTCGGTCACACCGGTATTCAAATCGTGCGGGTGTAAAGCGGTGAACATTTAAATTCCACGTATTCACGGCGATTCAAATTAAACAATTCGCGTGGATCGCAATTATTCGAGCGGCTCGGCCCACCGCGGCCGCGCTATATTAATTAACCGGCGAAATAATAACGTCAATAATTTCGTGACTCGATTCCCCTGTTTTTCTTTTCTCTTTCTCTCTCTTTTTTTCCCCTGTGTTTTTGTCTATTGAAAAACGCGGTTGCACCGAGCGAATTAACGAGCGAGCTGGAAATGAATGAAAACAATTTAATACTTCCGCTAACGAAATTTTCGAGTAATGGAGCGCTCACTCGTTCTGATTGCAGAAAGATTTCAACTTGATTGTGTCAATAAAGTTTTATGCGCTGAGAATAATTATGAATTCCGTAATTTCGTAATTCTGGTTTCTAACGGGGGAATTCTTTTGTGAACTGTTTTTATGCATGTTGTAATAGTACCGCGTGTTTGTACTTTATGTGTTGTATTTATTGTGCAGAGGGAAGTAGCATTATACAGATAATTTTACAAGCAACGTATAAGATTAGGTAAGGTTTTTTAAAAACGAATAAAAGGTATTTTTGCAATCTTTTGACAATCGAGCACTGATTAATTTTTCTTTATAACGTTTTTCGTCAGACTACCGGAAATACTTAAAAACTTATGGCGACCATTACGCTGAACGTCCTTTATACTGAAAGAAAGGATGTTTCATTTATAATTTTATATTATCTCTTGATTCATTATAATAACTGCGTTTTTAATATCCCAACATCTGCAATCATTTCATATTCAGATTTCACCACTAATTATGAAATCACATTGCACTAAAGTATCACGTTACATACACCCCGTGTACGCCATTAGACACATACTATTGTACATTTTGTACATCCATTTTGCTGCACCATCGTGCTACTTACACCACGAACATCTCTACTCGTCAAACGGACAAATTTTCTATCTGTCAGAAACACGATATTACATTGACAAAACCATTCAACCACCGTAACGACCAACTGAAGCTGAGACTTTGTTTGCTCCGGTGTCCGAATAAATTACAAAACTATTTCAATTTTCGCGTATCAAAGGACGATCAATTTTGGGTCTGTCGCGCAGGATCTACGTAAACTTAACCCCCGCACAGTGGATAGCGTGATAATTGCACGCACAGCGATCGCCGGGTCAAAAATGACCCAGTACTAAAATCTCTCCCTTATTGTCACGTCCAACGAATTGCAATGGTTAAAGAAAAAACGAAGAAAAATAGCAAAGGTGGGAACCCTTCATCTGTCTTTATTAATTTATTGAATTTACGCAGAAGAAGATGTTACAAGTCTTTATTGCGAATTCCTACAGAGCGCAAGAAATTTTGCGGCTACTGTTTTCATACAACGCGATTCCTCGTACAACGCGCCAAATAATAAAACACAGAAATTCCCCGCATTTCAAAGTTTAAAAGTTAATATTACACTGTTTTCTTCATCGTTACCGACTTCTTCCGTTTCACAATTGTTTCTTTATCACATACATTAATAATATGTCTTTATTTAAACCAACAGCGTGTATATGTCACTTTTTGCAAAAAACTGTCCTATTTGATAAACCACAGACGACGAAAGTTGGCATGGCAATAATCGTTCGAAACGTGATACTTTAGATTATTCGTACAGCGAGATTTCCTACAACGCGAATTCATAGAACGCGTAAATTTAATCGCGTAAAGTCATACAAAAAGCGTCAATATTGTGACTCTTCTTGTAGCTCAGAAAAAAAATCACGAAATCGACCGTCTACACCCGAGTATGTGCCACCCCTTGAACGAAGCTTGCGCGACGGATCCATTCGTGTGGCGTGAAAATTCGGGGGAGAGAGAGAAAGGTGGAGATAGAGACAGAGAGAGAGAGAGAGAGAGATAGAGATAGAGAGAGAATTTTTTTAAGGAAGCGAACGCATCCTGCGTAACGTTATTCGAGCGACGTAATGGCTGTTTACCATACAAGGCAGGTCTGGGGAAGTTAACGATTCGACACTAGCAAAAAACTCGGCAATTATACGCAGCCGCCGACTAATTTGCAATTGACTCACGTGCGAATCCACCGGTAATTATTAGTATCGGCCACGCCATTATTACCGTGCTAGAGGTTCCTCACGTTCGAAAGGGCTCCGGCGCTGATATTGTATATTGCCGTGGCCGCTGAATTATGGAAATTGGCCAGGTCGCCTGGTCGGGCAGCTCGCTAATTAATTATTAATGCCCGCGCTACTTATTAGTAGTTACGTGGCGGTGTGTCGGTGGACCACGGATGCCACGGATTTTTACCCTGTCACCGCGTCTTTATAATTGGCTCGTGACTTATGCCCACTCCGACGTACGCCTGGTGTATAGTGAAGCAACGCGATCTGCGGTCACGACTTGGTCATTGCTGTTGCTTCGTGCCAGTTGTATTAAAAGAGGTTGATTTTTTCTTCTTTTTTTTTTTTTGTTGAATAAATTATAAGGTTGGTGTGTGTAAAGTATATGCTTCTAATTAAATTACGAAGGTATCGAGCTTTAGTTGGAGCTTAATAGGTTCCTTCTTACGGTCTAATTTGACGAAAAGGTGAAAGTAGAGATTTTTTGGACATTCGTTTGCCAAATCGGTTTTGTACTGCAAATCGGCGTGTAAATACAGGTGTGAGAATTTTTTTTCGTGAGTAATTACTAAATGAAAAATTTAAATTTTTTTGAAGAGATGTAAAAGTACATTTTAATTTTATGTTACAATTTTTGAAGAGTAGAAATGTTACAAAGTGGTCGAATTATTCGCTATTCTCGAAACTTCTTTTGCTAGAAAGTTGAAAGTTTTAGTGATTCAAAAGTTGTAATAATTAGAGAAAAACTCAATTTGAAACGTTCTCGAAAAATCAATTATTTGAAATATGGAAGAAATCGCAACGCAAATTTTATGCAGAGTATTCCCATAAAACTCTGTAGAAGAAATAAAAAAGGTCGGCGAGATATTTTCAGTTCTACTTTTTTTTTTTAATATTTGAATCTTTGTCACTGGTAATTATGACACTAAGAAATTCTTCCACTTGTTTACGAAGGTTTCATTTATTATAAATTTGAATATTAACCTAGCTAAAGCAGAGCATATTACGTGCA